CTACAATATCGCCATGAAAAATTCGGAAAAGCTTAATTATGCTATCATTTATGATAGAGATTATAATTATAACTATTTTGGATTTAAAACGCTTGAAAGATCCTACCTTTTACGAACTAATGGAAAAGTAGCTGAAAGGCCACAACACATGCTTATGCGCGTTTCTGTTGGTATTCATGGCGAAGACATCGATGCAGCAGTCGAAACCTACAATCTAATGTCTGAAAAATATTTCACACATGCGTCACCTACTCTTTTTAATGCTGGAACTCCACGACCTCAACTTTCAAGTTGTTTTCTTCTGACAATGAAAGATGATTCCATTGAAGGTGTCTACGATACGTTGAAGACATGTGCCATGATTTCGAAAACGGCTGGCGGTATTGGCTTGAACATCCATAATGTTCGAGCCTCTGGATCCTACATTGCGGGAACTAATGGTTACTCGAATGGTATCATTCCTATGCTTCGTGTTTATAATAATACTGCACGATACGTTGATCAAGGAGGAAATAAACGCCCCGGCGCGTTTGCTATTTATTTGGAAACATGGCATCCAGATATTTTCGATTTTTTAGATTTAAAGAAGAATACCGGTAAGGAGGAGAGTCGGGCACGAGATTTATTCTATGCGCTTTGGATTTCCGATTTATTTATGAAACGGGTCGAATCTGATGATATTTGGAGTTTTTTTGATCCACCAGAGGCACCTGGACTTATGGACGTGTGGGGAGATGAATTTGAGGTAAGATCATGAGATATAACATTAAAGAGAATCTATATATGCCTTGTGAAATATTGATTTTCCTATCGCATAAATTCAGAAATTATATGAAGATTACGAACGCCGAGGCCTGGCACGAAAAGTCATTAAAGCCCAAAAATTATGGACCGCAATATTAGAATCTCAAGTCGAAACTGGTACTCCATACATGCTCTATAAAGATTCTTGCAACCGTAAATCTAATCAACAGAACCTCGGAACGATCAAATGTAGCAATTTATGCACTGAGATTGTTGAATACTCTAGCCCTGATGAGGTGGCCGTGTGTAATTTAGCAAGCGTAGCTTTACCAATGTTTGTTAAGAATAAAGATACGTATGATTTCGAACATTTGCATGAGGTCTGTTTTTCTTATTTATTGGTTATTTAATTGTTGAGCTCATTCACAATGAAAGTTGGATCACTTAGTTGTTGAACTTATTCATAATAAAAGCTTATTCATTTCATTTATTTATAGGTCACAAAAGTTATAACTCGCAACTTAAACAAAATTATTGATATTAATTATTATCCTGTTGAAGAAGCGCGCAGATCTAATTTTCGGCATCGTCCGATTGGCATTGGTGTTCAAGGTATTTTATTAAATTAATATACTATTCGTAATTTTTTCATATTTAACTAAGACTTCTTTTAAATAAGGGCTGGCAGATACTTTTCTTTCCATGCGCATTCCGTTTGACTCGCCACGTGCTAGGGAATTGAATAAGCAGATATTTGAAACAATGTATCATGGTGCCTTGGAGGCATCATGCGAACTCGCTTGTAATTATGGTCCATATGAAACGTATCAAGGATCCCCAGTATCGCAAGGAATTTTACAATATGATATGTGGAATGTTATTCCAACAGATTTATGGGATTGGAATTCATTGAAACAAAAAATTGCACAGTATGGTGTTCGTAATTCATTATTATTAGCACCGATGCCCACTGCTTCAACCTCTCAAATCTTGGGATTTAATGAATGTTTCGAACCTTACACAAGTAACATTTACACACGGCGTGTTCTCGCTGGAGAATTTCAAGTTGTAAACCCTTGGCTATTAAAGGATTTGGTTGACTTGGGCTTATGGAGTGATCAGATGAAAAATAAGATCATTTCAGACAACGGAAGTGTTCAAAAAGGTAAATACTTTTTAAACACTATATAAATGATTCTAAAGACAATATCAATATGATTTGTTTTGATGTTTTGTTAGTTCCTGGTATCCCTGAAGAACTTAAAGCCATGTACAAAACAACGTGGGAATTGTCGCAAAAAGTAATCATTGATATGGCAGCTGACCGAGGTGCATTCATTGATCAATCTCAAAGTCTCAACATACACATGGGGGAACCAACTATAGCCAAATTGACTAGCATGCATTTGTAAGTGCTATTAAACACTATATATTTAGTAATTATTATACTTCAAAACATCATTTTAATTATATACTGTATGTTGAAATTGCTGGTTTTTTTTTTTTAAAAAAAAAAAGTTATGGTTGGAAAAAAGGCCTAAAAACTGGAATGTATTATCTTCGAACAAAATCAGCAGCAGATGCTATTAAGGTGAGGTTCAGATATTTGTACAATTGTAATAAACAATTTTACACAGACAAGTTAATTCTTTTTTTTTTTTTTTACTAGTTCACTGTTGACCAGCTTTCACTTAAGGAAGTTGAAACGGCTGAAGAATCTGAGAATACTAGAAATAAAAAGGCATCTATTCTAGCTATTGCGTGTTCAATTGAGAATAAAGAGGATTGTGTTATGTGTAGTGGCTAGATTTCTATTCAATTAAATAAAAATAAAGTGATGTCGATACTGACAAATTAGCATTGCAGATTAGATCTTAGGTGTAACGTTAAAATTAGTAGGCGGCAAAAGTAATGCCCGATATATTTTTCGAAAATAAGTAACGATCGTCATTATTGCATTATGCATACGTAAAACATGATTTTTACTAAGTAAACTGGTTTGCAGCACTAAATAAATTTGTTTGTAGGGTTTTGATATAATATTATTAGATTTTTTTATTAGATGTTAAAACAAAAAAATTCACTTTTTAATTAATAGATATATATAAATAAAATAAAAATTTTTTTAACAATTAGGCTATTCAAACGATTAAAACGTCAAATTCACGTGGGTACATGGCTTTAGCCATCCCCCTTTTTTGGAAGAAAAACTAACCTCTTATACCCGAAAATAAGCTACGTATATGATCGCCAGTAGTTACTCTATAGTAAAGTCAAAAATTTTGCTAAGTAAAACAACTATCTGTATTAAGTTTGTTCGGGAAATCAAAAAATATATATATATTCTGAAAATTTCATGTAAATCGGATAATGTTTTATTAATTGACTTTTGATTTTTATGTTTGACGAATTTCTTAAAATTTCTTTAAAATTTATATTTGTTGAAAATAAAAATCAAAAGTCAATTAATAAAACATTATAAAACATTACCCGATTTACATGAAATTTTCAGAATATATATATTTTGATCTTCTGAACAAACTTTACTTAATACAAATAGTTGATTTACTTAATAAATTTTCTCACAATTGAGCAAAATCCACTTTTATTCCAAAATAAGCTACCTACAATATTTTTGTATAATTTTTTTTTTCAAAAATAGTAGCTTATTTTGGGGAATATATGGGAGGTTAAAAGTAGAAACCATCCAAATTGTTTTTAATAAGTTTTTTTAAAACTTTTAATTAAAATATTTTGACAACAATAAAATCAAACCCAATAAATTTTTTTTATTTTAATTCTATAACTATATAGAATTAAAATAAAGAAAATTTTGTCAAGTTTGGTTTAATAGTTGTTAAGATATTTTAATTTAAAGTTCGAAAAAAATTTACTTAGAAACAATTTGGGTGGTTTCTACTTTTGACCGCCTATATAGTAGATACCAGATTTGGTTTTAAAAGTAAAAGTACAAGTTACTTTTATTAATATCAACCTATTTGAATTGGTTTTGATAATTATATTAAAGTTGATATATATGAAGGAATTTAATATATAAAAATTTATAAAAATTTGTTTTGTAGCTTAGGTTAATATTAATAAGGTTGATATTAATAGGAGTAACTTGTAGTTTGTTATTAATAAAGTTAAGCTAGGTATGATAGTAAAATATTAAGAAGTAGATATTTATAAATAGCTTTTTTTAAAATCAAATTTTTTGATAAACTTCTTAATTATTTAGTATTCAAATCAAAAAGATTATTTTGAAAACAAGTTTGTTATGAACCAATATATTTTTATTAAATATAGTAAAAGTTTAAAAATTAGACTATAATTATAAAATCTACAAAAAAATCTTATATACTTTTATTAATCTACTATTTTTTTCAAAAAATTTTTATAAAAAATAAATATTTTAGATTACTTTTTTTAAAAAATTAATATTATATTGTAATATAATATTATTAAACAAGTTATCTTACTTGACTAAATGCTCAAGTAGTTAAAAAATATATTTATATAATTTTATAAAAAAAACAGCTTGTAAATTTTTGTTAACTTATTGTTAATATAATATTTACAAAAATTAACCAACAATTTATAGACTAAAAATATATTTATTAACTCAAATAATATTTAAAAAATAATACAGATAAAACAAAAATATAACTTAAGAAAACTAAAATACAATTACAAGAAAAATATTATAAAAAAGAGACTTATTTTTAACAAAGATTATATAACAAATAAAATTTATTTCTATACAAATTTAATAATAAAAATAATAAAGAATTTATTTTCAAGATCAAAGTATATAATTATAGTATTATAATAACTAAAATATATAGACTAATTGTCTAAAACTACTAAAAAATAAGAACTAACTATCTCTTTAACTTGGAAAAGGTAAAAAAATTTAAATATTTTTTTGAAATATTAGATTACTATTAAAATATAGTAATTTATTAAAAAAAAGTATTTTTTATTAATAAAAGATTATCTATAGAATAGATATCTTTTGATATTACAGTCCAGAAATATACCAAATTTGGAAATCATGTTCTAAAAAGATCTACAAACAGGTTCATGTATTTGATTAGTCATTATACTTTTTTTTATGCACATATTTGTGCTAGAGTTTTACAAGATTTTATCTATCTATTTATTGCTAAATAATATATAAACAGATAGTAAAAGCAATGAATTTTAATAATCTCAAATAATCTCACATAGTAATTTGTTCTCAAAAAGGTAAATGAAAAACATAAATTTATGTTTATTTATTGTATATTGTTAAGTAAAAAGAAATAAAAATATATACTAAATAGCCTTTTAGATTGTTATTTATCTTTAGAAACTTGGAAGTAAAATATAGGATAAAAAATATGTAGATTAAATAATCTACAAGAATAAATGTAGAATAAAATAAGAATATGAGATGAATGTAGTATGTTATTAAGAATATATATAGTATAATAGTTGGGACAAATATAGTATGATAGATAGAGACAAATGTAATATAATAGTTAGGGCAAGCATAGCATGATAGTTGGAACAAGCATAGTATGAGAGTTGAAACAAGCATAGCATGAGAGTTGAAACAAGCATAGCATAAGAGTTGAAATGAGCATAGCATGATAGTTGGGACAAGCATAATATAATAATTGGGCGAATATAATATAATAGTTGGAACATAGCAAAAGTTAGAATGAATATAGTATAATAGTTAGAACAAAAATATCATAATAGTTGGAATGAACATAGTATAATAATAGAATAATTATAGCATGATATTTAGCCCAATTCGAGAGAAACATAGTATGATAGTTAGAAATGAACATAGCACAATAATTGAGATATTTGTAGCATGAAACTAATATAGTATAATAGTTGATAACAAACTTAGTATAATAATTAGAATCTAGCACAATAATTGAAAAGGCTTAGTATGATAGTTAGGATGAATATAGCATAATTATAGACAATATTTAGATAGATAGATTTAGAATACACATAGTATAAGAGTTGGTATATTTAGAATGAATATAGCACAAGATTAGATAGATTTAGAACATAATATGAGTTTGGTAGATTTGTGATATAGCATAAGAGTTTTGCAGATTTAAATATAGCACGAAAGCTTATTACTAGTAATTTTATAATAGTTAGCGCTAGATTCTTAATATTGTACTATAGTACTATAATATAATTAAATTCTTAATATAGTATTATAGTAGTTAGTTTAATAATTAATAAATAAAATAATAAAAATATATTAAAAAATTAGAAAATAAATTTAAAAACGAAGTGGAAATAAAAAAAAGCTTAATAGCTATGATTGATTAACAATCATATTTTAGAAATTTTTAGAATCAATCAATTGATGATCTATTTCTATAAAAGATATAATCGGTGCTATCTATTTATAGTATATTCCCAAACTGTATTAGATAAATATTTTTTAATAGTAGATAAATATTTTAAAATGATTAAAATAATAGATTAGATATTTTTTACTAAGAAATAGATATTTTTTTCTTATAGAAAAAGCACCTTTTATTATAGCAAAAATACTTTTTACAGTATTATAATAAGAATATCTTTTAATATAATAAAGTATTTTTGCTATTTTGAGTTTGTTTGGCTTTATTTATTATTAATATTGTTGTTATATTATTTTAGGCTATTTTGAGATACTATTTGTGTTTAAATCTCTTAGTTCAAATTTTGTTTATATTAAACAAACTAATAATTTAATAAGTAAATATTCAATCATCTAAACAAATTTTTTTTTATATATAAATTTTACTATAGACTTGAAAGTGTAACACTTCTATCTAAAACTTTTTTTTTATTAAATAAATTAATTATTTTTAGGCTTATAACAAAGTTGTAGAGCTCATCAAAATATATATAATAGTAGCAAAAATATTAAAATCGGTCTAGTAGTTCTTAAAAAATTTTTAAAAAATATTTGATTAATATATAAATTTTCTTTAAAAATAATTAATTTTTTTAAAGAAATTTTATATATTAGTAAAATATTTTTTAAAAATTTTTTAAGAACTACCAAGCTTAACTCTCTCTGATGATCCTCTAGACAACACAACAAAAAATTGAATTACGAAAAAATGATATAGAAAGTTTCAAGATATATACTGTTACAGTACTGTGGCCTTTTTAACAGTAGTACTATAATAATAACATAGCTACAGGGATCCTTCACAGGTTTATAGCAGTGTTCAACAAGTAAGTATAATTTCTACTACAACTAAAAACTATACCCTTCTGTCT